GGATGGCGGGCTACGGGTCGGCCCGCCTCGCCGCCCATTTTGACAGCTCTACTTGTGGTATGTAAGATCAAAGCTCATGTTTATCATACAATATTTGCGGTGTACCCGAATATACATGTCGAGTTTTAGGATAGACTTATCTCTTGCATTGAGTGCATGTTATGCACTACTACTTCTTTACATTTGTGTCACAATTAGAGACCTGAGTGAGCAACCAACCTGTGGTTACCCTCATAGTACTATTATTCGCGAACTTGTGGTTGCCCGCTGCGCTTTTGTATGTTGATTATCGGTTGTGTGAACCACAATGATCTATGAATTTACTTTTACTTTTACCGACAAAATAAATAAAAAAATCTACTGAACATGACATTCACAAAATTTGATGTCAAATAGGATCAACCAACAACTTTTCGAGCTCCGAATCGAGAAATGACCCAAAGATGACGACATGTTGATCAATATCGAAACACCCATCGACGTCGTAAAGCACCCCCATCAATGTCGGCTCCCTGAAAATCGACATCTTTATCAATATCCAAATCTGAATTTGACTCGAGCTAACAATCTAATGACTCGACAACCTTATGCTTCACCTTGTTCGCAATATCACTCATCTCCTTTATGGGTTGTTCGGACTTTCTTTGAAGACATACCAGAGAAATTTTGTGGTAGTATTGGTCAGAAAGTCGTCATCTTCATGCGTGGTGACTTCGGATTTTTACTAAGCGCCTGCTAGTGCTATTAAATTATACGAGTTTGGCTCCGCATGTTGAGGCTCGAGTTCGACTTGAGCTCATTTAAAACTCGTTTGGTTAACGAGCCGAGCTCGACTCGATTCGATAATGCTCGTTAATGCTTGAAAAGATCATTTTTATATAACTTTTGTATAGTTGTGCTCGTTAAAACTCGAGATTGACTTCTTAACTCTCGAGCTCTAGGCCTTAACGAGCCGAACTCAAACTTTATTTATGGCTTGATATTTAACGAGTCGAGCTGAGGCTCGAGCTCGAGCACCTGAAGCTCGAGCTTGGCTCAGCTCGTTTGCAGGCAGCGCCTGCATATCAGGATTATTTTTACTATTATATATTTTTTTTTTGGGAAATTGAAGCTTTTTTTGAACAATCTCGATGTTAGCATTTTTGTATAATCAAGTGATCCCTGATTTGGCTGGACAATCATTCGAAATGTTTGATATCTCTGTTGCTCTTCCCTTCTCTTCGCCATTGACTAATTGTTGAAGATGAAGGAAAGTGAGAGCCCTTTGAGATGCTTTGTTTTCAATTTGGTCAAAAGAAAAGCGAAAAGCGAAAAATCAGACTGAATGATATTGCGTAATGAAGGAATATTGCTAATAAAAATCTACACAATTCCCTAAAAATATGCTCAATTCCAGTTCCACTTGAGTTCTTTAGTCTCCTTTATAGAGTAGTTTAGCCTTTGGTCGCGTGACATTATCAATCGATTTGGAGAAGACTAATAATATAGCATGTACTCAACATGAGAACAAGTCAAGCCACCAATATTTCCGTCAAACAAATATCCTCCACGCTGTAAATCTTAACATATAGTCAACTAAAAAGCAAAGTACAGTTCAACCGAATACATAACATAACATATAACCAGTATCTCTAATAACGCTCAACAATTGTAACCAGTTTCATGTACTTAGATTGAATCGCTTCATAAAAAGCAGAAAATGCAGAAAATGCTGATGATAGGTAAACAAAGCCAAATTTTCATTACAAAACGCATTTCCATGAATCTACTATGCTACCACTTTAAGATTATAAACAACCTAAACAGACGATGCAACATAGTGCATTGACATATCAGACTTTCAACTCAAACGTAATGCATTTCCTAGGAGTAATAACATTTGTTTCCATTGCTACACAGTAGAAAACACATAATTTCCTCCAGCAATGACCAAATTCTCGAGGAAATTTTCCAACTGAATGGCTAAGGATCAGCAAAATCTTAAATGGGGAATTTCTACAGCTCGATTTTACCCAGCAAAAGGATTTTAATAAAATATAGATTCCTTGAACTGCCATTATATAAACATCAACATTAGCATTATTACTATTAATATATTTGACTCCACAAGAACGGAGCACAGAGTCATCTTTCCTCACCATAACTATGAACATCATCATAAAATTCAAGTGTAAACATTGAATTGCCCAATGATCTTCACTGTTTTATTCAACAACCAGTAAATCTAATTTGCCGTATATATAGAAATAAAATTGAAGATGAGAAGAAGTTCACGTTTCACACAAGTTATACTGAACCTGATCCTGAAGTATCCTCCTTGTAGAAGTGATTTTCTGCGACTCCTTCAGTCCGGAGTCCGACACATCGTGGAACCAACCGACTGATCTCTGGGCTTCTTGCACGATTTGAGAAATCCCTAAAATATTGGCAAACGTTTTAAAATCAGAATACCTTAAACTTTTAGATCATCCACGGGTAAGGCATAGGTCTCGTTTCCGAAGCAAATTATAGAATATATGATGGTAAAAGGCAATAGAAAAAAAAAATAAAAAAATAAAAATAGAGGAATAATTGAGACCTCCTGATACGGTTTGTTTGTTGTGGCGGATGTCGTGAATGGTGGCGGAGATTTTCCAGTAGAGCGGCCGACCGACAAAGAACAGTATTAGAACAACGGCGGCCGCCAGCAGTAGGCGGAATGTGAGTCTTGCGGCAGGAGACGCCATTGTTGTTTTCACCGATTTCGCAGTCACTGGGTGCGATTGTGTGCGCCTAAAATCTTGGGAGATTTGTTTTTGTAAGCGAAAAGGTGAAGAAAAAGGAAAGAAAAATATAAGTGGATTTTCAAAGGTGTTATTTTGCTCACACGAAGCACGTTTCTCCTTATTTTTCCCGAATCTCTCTAGGAACATTTGTTAGGGAAGATTAGGCCCGTCCGAATCTGCCCAGCCCACGCAAAATCTTCAGAAATTTTGATTTAAAGGCCACGTGTGTGTACAAAAATTTTGATTCAAAATTTAGCTGACTCCAATATTCTCAATATTCTCAATATTATTATTATTATTAGGTATCTTGGAGAATAAGTTAGGAATTAAATAATATTATAAGAGATCTTGTCTTGTTGGACAAGTTACAAATAAGGTTTAAGAGTCTTATTTAAAGGGTTTATCTTCTATTGTTTTATTCAGTTGATTAATGAAATGAAATAATATTTGTGAGTTTTGTGTGTGATATAGCCCTATTATCATAGCCCGATTCAAATACTAACTGCCTGGCCGAGCAAACAAGAGTGACGACATCATTAAGTCGACTTGGCCTATCGGTCATTGGAAAACCATCATCGGCCTGATAAACGGTCTCAAGACGACTTCAGGAAGTCGACTACGTATAAGACGATCTCTCTCAAGGAGACGAGCAGACACTCCAGGAGCCTTGAGCGTATGGATAACTCTAGGTCGACTTGGCAGGGTCCCAAGTTGACTTACAAGACCTCCAACGACTTGATACACTTAGATGCAACATATAGGAAATCTCCAAGGTAGACTAAGTTCACATAAGATAAGGAAGGATCTAGATGCTGACTCAGGAGTGGGCAGAATACCAACCGACCAGGGCATTTTGGACACTTCATGTAAGTCGGCCAGGACATTTTACGTACTTCAAGTAAGTTTTTCTGCCCCTATATAAAGGAGCTCAGGTAACCCCAAACCCTAACTTTCATTCTCTC